TATCATAAGTCTGATTTACATTTTGAATACAAAAATAATAGCGTCCATGTTCAAAGCAGTAGATGTTATGAATGAAAACAGGAATGCCTTTTTTGATACTTGGTATTGGATCGATGGCCAAAAAGGGGGATGCGTTCAAGCCCCATTTACACGGCACCTACAGGACCTCTGAGTCATAGGCATGAGCATTAGGAACTCAATCCCAGCTGACCGTGGCTTGCTCCGTGCTAAGGCCGAACCCAGGTAAAAGCGACCAGCATAGATGGCACACACTCACACACACACAGGTGTTCGCTCTCATCTCCACACACGTACAACCATACTTTAATTACATGTACGGCCCTTTGTGAGTCCACTGCAGGATAGTCTACCTATTTTGCGTTGGTAATTGCATTGTTTCACCGTACTGGTCAGTACAGTTGTAACATGATGGGGGGGGGGGGGGCGGCGGGGGGGGGGGGGGGCAAGACTGGTTCAGACATCGCTTGCTGTGGCCAGGAACCAAACTCAGGTTGTCAGCTTCAGAATGCAATAACCGATGCATCCGGGCGGGCGAATATTTAGGCACCAAATGACTCCCCATGTTACTTGCACCTTTCAGAAGTGGAGACAACATTTGGTAATTGTTCTTAATGCCACGATCGTGGTACATGAAGTATCATCGCATCCCACTTATGTTTGAAAACTGTTATCCCTTACTGGTCCGACTTTTAATTGGCTATTGGACTCACGCTGACATCGATTGACCGTGATTGTGTAGGATTACTAAAACATTACTTAAAATGAAATGTCATAACTTCCTTATAAAATTAATGTCCAGCTTCCCCTTACATCCATGGTCAATGGAGCTCCCACGCAGTCACACATCTCTAAGTACATCTATATACATTATTTCTGTACCCATAACCAGGAGCAGGCGGCGTCCACTTTCTGTTGTCGTTAGGGTCGCACTCCACGTGAGGCTAATTACTCGGTTCATTTATAATGCAAGTGTTCAGCATGACACTGAACACGATTAAGAACATGAGGCTCGCCCTGTCCTATGAGTGACATAAATCTCTCTCTCTCTCTCTGGCCTCTAGCGTTTTGAAAGAAACGTTTTTCTTATGTTGGTTTTCGGATTTTGTACATATAGTAGATGCAATTATATTTTCGCTAAATTTCAGCTCTTCTAAGAACATCTCGGAATTTATATCAGGCACTCAGCTGTCTATCTCTTCTAGAACATCTCGGAATTTATATCAGGCACTCAGCTGTCTATCTGTTCTAGAACATCTCAGAATTTAAACCAGGCACTGAACTCTCTATCTCTTCTAGAACATCTCTCGAATTTAAACCAGGCACTCAGCTGCCTATCTCTTCTAGAACATCTCAGAATGTAAATCAGGCACTCATTTCTCTAGCCCTTCTACAGCAGCATCAGAAGCTACTCTTATCATATTAGTATATTAGTATTCGGTACAAAGTGGAAAAAAATGTGTTCCATTATCAATGGGGTGGCCGCTCATCTCCACGAGTATCCCGGATCCGGTCATGGAAATTCCACATTTCCATTGCATGGTACTTTCTCTCCATAGGACAACCTCTGTTGGGGTGGAATGTCCCCTCGATGTTATCTCCTCCCGGGTAGGTAGATAATTGGCCTTTCTGATTGCGAGCCGAGATTTTTTTACCACAGTTGTCACCGCGCCTAATCATACCATAGAGAGGATGTATGTTTTCTGAGTGGGTCAACATACAAACAACATGCAAACAACATGTTACAAAGTGACCGCAAACATCGCAACCAAACGCAAAAAAATGCAGTATTTACTTTGCATGCAAAAGGTCGTGCGATTGTTTATTATTTAATACGATATGCTATATAAAACAGCGGTAATCTAGACATTCCCTTTGTAAATCCACTGCTGAACGAATACCTCCCCATGACGTGTCGGTTGTGGGGGAGGGGGGTCGTTAGTTCGACTATACTTCACCACGCTGGTCAGGACGAGTCAGTGATGTTAGCCCGTGGCCAGGCATCGACCCCAGTCGCGCGAACGCGCCACTATTCCTTCCCCCCTCCGTTTATATAAAATAATACTTGTAATATAATGCCGGAGATTGAGCGACGAGCAGGATGAATTGCTGTGCCTATGCAGGCGAACAATGACTCCTATCGTAGCTGAGCACAGCTGCAGTCCACCTCCGATTAGTGTCAAATTCCGATATTGCGCCTCACTCGGGTCAATCATCATCACCACCACCACCACCATCGTCTCCAACGCACGCGATGTGCTCGCAGCTCTCGTCCGTGAGCGTGACGGCGAGCGGGCGCGGTAATGTTTACAGGTGCGGGGTTTTACCTGCGGCACGGCAAACCCGACCCCCACCCCCCATAGACGCCTCCAGGGCGCGGCCACACCACCTGGCCGGATACGTGCCATCGTGTTTTAATGTTGTTGTTGTTGTTTTGACTTGAAACTTTCGTGACTGCAGGAATTCATAGTCTTTGGTTATTTCGGTCAAGTCACGTAGATAGAAAAATAATAATAAAAAAGTGAATAACAGCATCAGGCTACAGTCTACATTATAGACTGCCAGTACACTCACCAAACTTAATAACCAGGCTACAGTCCACATTATAGACTGCCAGTACACTCACCAAACTTAATAACCAGGCTACAGACCACATTTATAGATTGCAAGTACATTTATGTGTTTTTTTTATTATTTGTATGTTATTCACTTTATTTTGTATTATTATGTTTCTATCTTCGTGACTTTACCGAAAGAACCAAAGGATATTGTTGTTGTGAAACTTTTTTTTTGTAAATTAACATTCACATTGATTTTCTTGCTCAAATGAGCATTGATATATCGGTGTTCATTTCCCGTTTACAGCTCCGCAGAGGCGGTGGTTGAAATTCCACATTACTATGGAGGGGAAGGGGGGGGCGAGTCTATCCATAAAACAACCACTTCATCACAAAGTGGTACTCGCTTTTTTAATATATCGATCCCCGAACGGATAACAGGCTGAGTTGACCTCCCAAACTGGGTTTTATTGAACTTGTAACCTTCAACTTGCGAGCCGCTCGCTCGCTTTACCACTGAGTGACCTGATGATGGCTTCCCTTACTTACCCGGGAGGACCTCACCGACTCGCCAGACTTTTTCACGAGGGTCCTGCGAAATTTGGGATGTTTGTCCAAATTCCAAAGCGAAGGAAACGTGAGTAACCTGGAGAGAATCCACCACGTGCAGGATGGGAATAACCCACAAACGTCACGCAAAGACGTTCTTCACGAACCCACTTGCTCTACTGCCATCTCATGGCCACCTCGCATGCAGCCCAGCCGGGGTTGTGAGCATTTCACAAATCTCTACGCAGACTCACCGACTCTCGCCGCCACAGCGCTGGATCGCAAGCGTGTGCCCACCACGCCTCCTCGCCTAACGAGTTTGTATTTGGGGGTCAATGAGCCTCTATTTCAGTAGAGTTCTGCATGGGGGATGTTTGGCTAATGCCAAACAACAATGAGAGTTTTCGGTTTCGTGCCGGAAAAATGCCCACTGTTAACCGGAGAAAACGCATCACGGATACAAGAGTGTTCGCACTCAGAGCTCCGCACCGATTGATTTAACAACTTCTCTGGCCACCTCGCAGCCTATAACGCCTGTTATTCCCCGAAAGTCTTCCCATCGAGTAATCCCGCTGTAAATCGTTACCAACGATCCCCTGGTGCGGAGCCGCGAACTGCATTTGCAAACCCGCACGTACCAGGATGGTGAAGTATGTCCAAACAACCCCCACGACCTATGGGGCGTTTGGAGACTTCAATCCAGCATCGCATTGAGAAAAGGGCTGTAAATTATTATCACAGGTAATTATAACTACGGTATTGTTATATCGTACTAATAGGGGAGCCGTTATTGGCAAAGCATAGCTGGGTGATGGAGGACCTCTGCACGCCATATCCGGGTTGTGGGAGTTGTTTGACCATACTTCACCACGCCGGTCAGGATGGCGAACGCTGGTAGCAAACCCTAAGTGGAGGCATGACGATGTTGCTCCATTGCTCCCACTACCTTAGCCACACGCAGCCTAGAACACCTGTTATGCATGGTGGTCGCCCATCAATCCTTGCTGTAGCTTCCGATCAACTCCTATTAACTATTTTATTTTATTTTACCAAGTAAGACCCACTGAGCTATGTATCACTTTTACAGAAACGACCTGGCTTATCAAGTGGACATTTATCGCAGCCAAATAATCTAAACGCGTGATGTCGATTCTAAATTTGCGAGGTAAAAAAAAAACACACACAGAGGACGCGGAGAAAAATCCACGCGACCATGGGAAGCAAGAGAGAGACACGCAAACTCCAAATATACAGCAGCAGCAGGCGTCAGGGTCGGGATCGAACCCACGACCTCCTGTATACCAGGCGAGGTAGTTAACATATCCTAGCCACCGTGATGATGATGATGAGAGAGAGACACGCAAACTCCAAATATACAGCAGCAGGCGTCAGGGTCCGGATCGAACCCACGACCTCCTGAATACCAGGCGAGGTAATTAACATCTCCTAGCCACCGTGATGATGATGAGAGAGAGAGAGACACCGCAAACTCCAAATATACAGCAGCAGGCGTCAGGGTCGGGATCGAACCCACGACCTCCTGTATACCGGGCGAGGTAATTAACATCTCCTAGCCACCGTGATGATGATGGGAGAGAGAGACACCGCAAACTCCAAATATACAGCAGGCGTCAGGGCTGGGATCGAACCCACGACCTCCTGCATACCAGGCGAGGTAGTTAACATCTCCTAGCCACCGTGATGATGATGGGAGAGAGACATACAGACACCGCCCACCCCAAATATACAACAGGCGTCAGGCTCGGGATGGAACCCACGACGTCCTGTATACCAGGCGAGGTTGTTAACATCCCCTCGCCACCGTGGTGCCCACAGATGATTTGATGACAGTCGTGAGGTATTCATGAACCCTACCATCTGGCATTCTTCCACGTCGCCCTTGGTCATGTCAACGGCGCCGTGGCCTTGGGACGGAGGCTTGCGGACAGAGGGTCGGGGCCGCTGTGGTCGGCAGCCATGCAGTGCAGACGTCATGCAGACGCATCTATGAGGAGGAGGAGATGGAGGTGGAGGTGCAGGAGACGGCGACGGAGGTGCGGCTTGAGGAGCTACCGTCACTGACGGCTCTCTCTGCAACAGCTTGGTCGAGATCGCGGCAACCTTGAGCAGGTGGTTGCTGTGGTTGTGGTGGTTGTGACAGTTGTGGCAAAGGGTGGCGGTGGTGGTGGTGGTAGAGATGTCCAAAAGAACAGGGCTCCTTTAAGGGACACGTCCGCATCACCCCAACGCTCGCTGCAGCATCAGCGACGACACCCAAATCGCACCTTCTGCATTATCGCCTCCTATTGCTGCTGCTGCTGCTGCTTCTGTTGTCGCTGCTGCTGCTGATGATGCCGACGATGATGTTGCGGCTGTTGCATGAGAGGCGGAGAAGGCGAGTAAGAGGGTCAACTGCAGGCGACTTGGTCGGGACGGCCCCAGGGTGGACGAGTCGCTCGTGCAGCAGCAGCAGCAGGAACAGCAGCAGGAGGAGCGTTCAATGCAGCTTCTTTATCAGATGTAATCCGGGCCTTGATGACTTTACGTGGCTCTCCCGTTTAATAGTCATTTAATATCTCTGTTACTGCGACAACTACTGGCACCACCGCGCCCGCTTGCTCTTCTCGTTATTGTTAAAAACAAATTCTATCAGCTCGTCACGTCTTCCGAAAGATGCAATCCACGCCGCAAAACCATTTGTTGAAATGTACACGGGGGGGCCAACGCGCTTCCTACTCACTGCACGCGCCACGCGCACGGCTCATATATAATAGAATAGATACACGGGCACACATAGCCTACGTTTAAAACGCTCGGGCGTATTCACACGCACATTCTTCGATCATAGAATCAAAATAACAACAACAACCGTTCAACCTAAACGCCACCCTCACCTACTGCTGCTGCTGTTGTTGTTGCCGCTGCTGCTCCTGCTTCTTCACTGGAGCCACGTCCATTATATTGCTGCTGCTGCTGCTATCGCCAGGGATGAGGATGGAAATGAGAGAAAGCATCGGACATGTGGAGCAGCAGCAGCGGCGGCTGCGGCGGCGGCAGCAGCAGCAGGGGAGAGAGCGATGGAGCTGTGCGAGAGATGATGTCGGAGGCGCTGTGCCGCTCAGCGCGTCGGCCGAATGCTAATTCTGCCGGAGTAGACTCGACCCCAACCCCGACACACGCACACACTCCCCCCCTTCTCTCTCTCTCTCTCTTAGAGGGGGTTTCGGTTTTTTTTGGGGGGCCGGGGAGAAAAGAGGTTGGGGGGGGGGATAAAAGGAGGTGAGATGGGTAGAGAGTAAAGAAGAGGAGGATAATGGCCGTGGTGGTGATGGTGAATACGGCGGCAGGAGCTCGTGAAGATTACCTAGGAATTTGGAATTAGTGAATCGTGATGATGATGATGTCAAATGAGATTGGGATTTAGAAAGTTGCTCGGATGATGACGATGATGATGTTAATTGTGCATTACGGAATTGGTGATGTGTATTGCATTACGGATAAGATCATCATGATGATGAAGTGAATTCTGCAATCTGGATATGACGATGATGATGTGTCGTGCATTGTGGAAATGATGTTGTGAAGAGATGACAAGATACAAAAAAGTAGTAATGATGATGTAAATTACGAATGATGGAATTGGTGATGTGAAGAGATTATAAAAGAGAAAAGTTATTTGAATGATGATGTAAATTACGCATGATGGAACTATCGATTATTTGAAAAGAAACTGGGATTTGATGATTATGCATTGTAGAAACATTTTCATCGCAACGCTTTATTGCCCCTGGTGGCGATAATCATGATGATCATAATAACGATGTTACCAATTTATATAATGACCATGATGTTCACAATGATGTTCATAACGTTTATGACCATAATGATGTTATCACGATGGAGTTGTCTGTGGCGATAACGACGTTCAAGATGGCTTTCATGATAATGATGATCAATCATAATGATACGTGATATTGGTTTGTGGAAACAAAACACCGATCGCATTTAATGCGTTATTACGAGCTCTCCATCCATCTTGAAGATTAAATAATAGATGAGTAGGCACTAACATAACGTGTCATCACGTCACATGATATATATAGTTCAATTTAATGCACTATACTCATGCGGGTTGGAGAGGCATTCATTCAGCAGCGGATCGACCATGGCATCACTTCTCGACATCTGTGTGACGATATTTTGGTTGTCGTCGTGACACCCCCCCCTCCCCCACACCAGCCCCACCCCCGTGCTCAAGGGAAGGGGCGGGGCCTAAATGAAGAATTAGGCGGGTCCTATAAAGGAAAGGAGCAGCGCCTAAAGAAGAAGCGGAACCAATGGGGGGGCGGGCTAATTCAGGCAAGGGGTGGGACCTAAATTATGGAAGGGGCGGGACCAAAATCAGTGAAGAGGCGGGGTCTAAAGAGGAGTAGGCGGGGCCTAAATCATGTAAGAGGCGGGGCTTGAAAAGGAAAGGTGCAGGGACTTAGGAAATAAGCATAGCCCGGGCATAAAGAAGGGGCAGGGCCTGTAGAAGTTGAAATTCTCTGTTGAGGTTAAAGTATAGAGTCAGTAGGGCCGCCCCACAGGCCAACTAGGAAACTTCGTTTCAGTCGAATGGGGTTCACAAAACCACACTGAGTGACCACAAGCATGTTTGTCTCAATCCACTGCTGGATGAGGCCATGTTTGCTTGCGGTGGGGCAGGGTGTGTGTGTGTATTATTGTGGCCTCGTGTGTATATGGTGGGGCTGGGTGTGGTGTGGCTGGAGTGCTACTCTGGTTATGTAAGAGGAAGGAGCCACTCTGCTCGCCATTAGCATTCGCCTCGTATCCCGAACAGAAGCTGCTGCTGCCTCCCGACCCAAACCCCCAAAATCGGAGTCGTCACTCAGCCTCTCCAGCCTGCCCTGCTCTCATTCTCACCATTCGCTCAGTCACTTATTCATTAATTTACTCATTCAATTACCGGTGAATAAATTAATCAACTTACTCCTTTACGTATTCATTCGTTCACTGGTTCCCCCCCTTTTCATAATTTAATACGTCATTCATTGCCTCGTTAATATCATTAAGTCATTCATTGATTAATCAATGCACTCATTTATCAGTCATTCCCTCATTGACCACTTAGTGTTGTAACTTCAGTCATTCGGTCGCGCATTCATTCACCCCTCTACTCATTTGCTTTTCACTTTTCCATGCATTCACTTGTTAATTTTCTTATGCGCGTTCATTCATACACCTTGTGATTGACTCTGGTGGTGTTGGTTGTGCATTTCTCTGTTTGCTTTGCAAAGATACAAATCAAATCGCCTCCTGTGCTTCAATGGGCCTGGGCCGAAGGAAAGGGAAAATTCACATTCCGATGGTGGAATCCAGTCCGCTCCACTCGACACACCGCCGTTGACCAACCCACATTGGGGCACTCACTCGCCTGGTATACAGGAGGTCGGTGGTTCAATCCCAACACTGACGCCTGTATATTTGGAGTTTGCGGCGTCGCTCTCTCGTGTGGAGTTTTTTTTTTTCTGGGTCATCCGAATTCCCCCTCCACGTTTAGAAACAACGCGTTTAGAGTATTTGGCTGCTGTACATTTCCGCACGATAAGCCACTTCGTTGAGCTGTCATTTGTTAAAGCAAGGTCACTTTTGAAAAGCAAGCTACATAGAGCTCAGTGGGTCTTACCTGGTAAAATTAAATAAAAGTTTAGTTTCTAGTTTATCGACACCCTCTAGGGTTTGATTGGCTGAATCGACCCACAACCTGCATGTGAACTCGCAATTTTCCAAGTTTACATCAGCAGTTGAGTTCATCCCACATACGAGCAGTCGCACAAATGGTGGTTGTTGTCAATTCCAGCGATGCGCAATAACGCTGAAACGTAGCACAAACGTCTTCCAAAATACGCGTCTTCCAAGATTATATATTTAATCGATTTAAAGCTTTCGTGACTGCAAGGATTCATCTTCTTTGGTTCTTTCGGTAAAGTCACGTAGAATGAGAGTAAAATAATAAAATAAAATAACACAATAAAATTCTCACGACGTTTTGGCCACAACACAAGTGGCCTTCTTCAGGTGAAAGGAACAAACCTGTCGTCCCGACAGCTCTGTCGTCCCGACAGGTTTGTTCCTTTCACCTGAAGAAGGCCACTTGTGTTGTGGCCGAAACGTCGTGAGAATTTTATTGTGTTATTTTATTTTATTATTTTACTCTCATTCTACGTGACTTTACCGAAAGAACCAAGACGTCGCAGACGGTCGATCAATTGGCTTCACTTAAAGGGCATGCTCAGCCTGAAAGTTAAACATCGGCGCTCTCAAGTCCCGCGCCGAACACTCGCAGATCAGCCATGGCCCATCGTCGGTTGACCGAGTAGTTCGCCTCCCTGTTGACGTGACGCTAACGCCAATAGGAGGCGTGGACAAACATCCCACGAGCCGATGACTCTTGACCGCTGTCAATCAAACTGCTGTACGAGTGGCTTCTTCGCTCCGTTACGGGTGGGTTTGGTGGCTCGGTTTGTTCGACCATACTTCACCACGCCGGTCTTCGCGGGATTGGTGAAAGCGTGGGGGGGGGGGGGGCACATGTGGGAGGCACGGAGGTGATAGAAGTACGGTACAACAACGGATGAAGGAAGACACTCCCCGTAAAAGGACACGCGATGTCACATTTCATGTAACCTGGAAAACAACGCCATCCGCTGGTGGCTGGGAGAAGTCTTCATAAAATGCATGGCGATCCAGTGCCAGATTAAGTTAGTGCGGGGCCTGTAGCATATGCTATAAAGGGCCCTAAATAATACAAAAGCACATACATATTAAAACACACATTTTTTACTTGCACAGTAAAGTAATTGTATTTTTTCATTCGCTATACAGCCAGATAATACGGCAACTCGCTAACCTTAAACACCCAGTCGTTCGTAAAGGTTAAAGGCGGTATAGTACTACAGTAATAGAGCAAGTGCAGAATCACTGAACCGGAATTGATCGCTTGAAAGCATTTAGCGCGGGGCCCTTGAAAGTGCGGGGCCCGTAGCTACTCGGATAATCCGGCACTGTGGGGATACAATCTTTCATCTCAACCTCGAGATGTGGATCGATCCTTCTCTGATGGTCGGACAACAACAGCTGTGTTGAACTTCAAATCAGTTTTCAGATTGTTCGCAAGAAAGATTTAGAATTACATGGTACCGCTTATTGCAACTAGCATCAGTAAAGAACGTTCATCATCGTCATCAGCCGTGGTTAATCCACCGCTGGATGAAGGCCTCTCAATCCTCAATCCGCCACCATCCCTCGCGATGCCGACACCTGCACACGACAAGGAGATGATTGTATCGCTCCGTCTCCTTGGCTGAGGTCTTACAGCTCCCGGACGAATTTCAATTCCTCGGCCGCTGGGATATTTAAATTTTAAATTACAGTCATCTAAAAATAAGTGCGAACAATTTTATCTGAATTAACAGCACAGAGTGGTAAGATTTAAGGAAGCCAGAACACGTCGATCTAAATAATATCCCCGCGGCTGATTATATAATGCAGTACAAAGATCCCTTTAAAGTATTAACAGTCTCTTGGGGCAGGTGCTGTTTGCGAGCGCCTATGAAGGCCGGAACGGTGCATGAAGAGGTGGGGGGTGGCCAGCACCACGCTCGGCCGTCTTTGTCTCCCTGGTGGCGATGTTTACACGTCGCACCCAGGTAAACCATTTGAGGCCGAGTCGACCTAGGAGAGGCCCAGACCTGGTTCAGAGACTCATCATTGGTGTTAGCCGTGAGCGGGAATCGAACTCGGCTCGGCAGATTCGTAGAACAGAGCACTAATCCCTACGCCACCGCTCTCCACATAGCACACCAATTCATCGACATCTGAAAAAATAATCAGACAATGCAATTACTTCACGCATCCGTCTCTCCACGTGAAGACAATAAAAGTATTTCCTGCCGCACAACCTTCTGCAGAGAGCGCAATAATTTCAGCAGCGCTTATTCAAATCCAAGCCAATCGGCTGATGATCGTACAGGCAAAGTTCACCGGCATTGATTCAAGCGAGCCTGACTGCTGATTAAACACCGGCTCAGTGTTTTGAATTTTGTATTTCAATCAATGCTGCTGAAATGATGCACTCCCTGTAGGGTTGTGTAAGGGGCCGTTCATAAATGACGTCACGCACCTAGGGGGGCGGGG